TTCTGAAATTCAGGCATCAGTTGTAAGATCAAGGTATCCAGAATGTTTGCCCTCTTAAAATTAGCATTTAGGACTTAATTAGTAACTCAGTGTCCGTCTCCATTAAGAAAGTGTCGAGCTAGTAAGGCGAAGAACATTAGCACGTCCAAGGACTATGTTTCGAATGTTCGATATATAGGCCCCAGAAAGTTTTTATTTTACTAAAGTTTAGAAGTTCTAATTGATGTATAGTTGTAAAAAATACATGTAAGGTGTGGACTTGAAATATGATGGAATATAAGACTAAACCTTACCGTAATTAAGAGTATATAACAAATTCCTTTAACATATAGAAGGGGAAAACCAGTTGCTATAGCAGTATTATAAACTAAGTATATATCATTTTCAATTTACAATAAAACCACTTAGCTCATATGCGTATCTATAGCTAACTGCATTCATTAGTCGTAGGAGGATGGAAATGATTTTGATAATGAAGATAATACTAGTGTTTATTGATTACGATTTGGTTAAACAGATAGGTTAATCAAGAGCACAGCTTTTGTTAAGTTTAACATTTGAATGTGAGAAAGTTATTACATTATTGTTCTTTGGACTAATTTCTTACTTAAAGTATTTTTTTAAACGCTCTTTAAACGTGGCCTACCTTTTCTCCAAATAAACTTTAAGTTAGTGTTTGCATTCATTGTTTTATTATATATTTAACTGCTCTACGTGAGTTAATAGGATTACGTGTTTGTGCATGACAGATTATGTTAAAAGATGTGAATTATTTAGTGCTATATTTTGCATAAAGAACATGTGCATTGCTTAGCAATTGTTTTCCTTAGAATTTTGGATAGGATGTCCTTGAATACTCGGTATTATACAGAACACACAATGGCCTTGAATTTTTGGGGAGAGTGAGTTTATAATTCCTGGTTATTCAATAGATTGAATTAAATAATTGCTTTAGATTAAAATTAATGAAAACCTCTTCTACACATCTTAACTGAATTATTTCATTTAACGTTAAATCTATTGATATTCCAGTACAAGTTGTCTACCTTTCTCCAAGAACATCATTAGATTTTACATGCATTGTATCCCATGAAATATATAAAAAAAAATATTAATGTCTTTCTTTTTTCAAAACTGTTCAGTATTTTAAATACAGATTACTTAAACTGTATAGATTTTATGTATTGGTGAGGGTTTTTTCAAACGAATATTCAAATAATTAACACTTAAACATCTAAAACTTAGTCATTGATCTGTTAATCAGTGATTGACTTTTATGTTTACTTTACATTAATAAAATTTTATTGTTTCCAGACGTATATATATATAGCTTATATATATATATAAAAGCTTTCAGATAAAATTAGCTACTATGCCATGTTTCCAATGATTCTTCCACGTATATATATATATATACAAGTTAGGCAGATATAATCTATCAACTACCATGTTGTAAATTTTGCAGTTACCTCCCCCTAGTAAATTCAAAATTTACAACATGATACAAGAGTGAACAAACCGATAGAAAAATTCTCTTTTTTTTTTAACTAAAACTTTTGAATGCATTTTTTTCCCAGAATTTAAAAACTATTGTTTATACAATATCCAACATCAAACATTCAAAAGCTGTTCTTTTCTCCAAAAAATATTCACACAGATTTCCAAACATTAATGTACATGTAATCAATATTTTTTCTTCTATTGTAGTAAAAATTCTACGTACATAAATTTTCAACATTTCTTTTTAAAAAATGATAATTTCCGATACGTGAGCTGAGCCACTTATAAGCTTGTACTGATAATTTTGTCTCAACACAACTTTGCACATTCAGTTAAGCATCTACAGTATTTTTCTTACTTTAAATTTTGAAAGCAAAAAACCCCGAATATTAATGAATTGTAAAATTAGGACACGTTGTAAAATTATTTCACTTAATTTTTTTTTAATTCTATTTCATTATGTAACACATGACAGGCACTGGCAACAAACTTGTTTCAAATTTTTATTTGATGATCTATTTCTATTTAAACTTTTATATTTCTCATATTATTACACTAACATGAAATATATTTGTTTGTATCAAAAATTAAAATTGATTCTACTTTAATATATGCCTTTTTTCAAATTTTACAGATGCAAGATGTCAGTTACAAAAGCAGCTTCATTTTACTGATTATAAAAGTGAAATGGAATGGTCTGAACATTTTCTTGGAGACTACACAGATTTTATTTTGATATACTTTTACCGATATTGATACTCAAAATACTCCACAGTATATTGATATATCTAGTCTACAGTGAACTCATATATGTTGTATGAGCTCTCAAAACAGTCATATAACTTTCGAGGGTTAATTCTATATTAACATTTAAAGAACTTGATTTTTATTAAAAAATTAATAATAATAAATTAAGCTGGTTTTCGTGTGAAGAATTTCATTTATAATTTTAAAAATATTTTATGACCTATCTCTAGTGCCCCATCTGAAGGTTCTCCACTTCAAACATAACGCTTTTGCATTTTCTTGGATCAAAGTTCTATAAATCCTTGCGAGGGTATCGGAATTTTCTCTTCTTGTGGAATATCGTTTTTGTTTAGACAGCAATTTCCATTGCTACAATTGCAAGCCGCGCACGTCAAGACTTTGATACAAAGCAAACAAACAAATCTGTAGGAACTCTTCCTATCCGCTGCTGCTAGCTATATCAATGCCCCAACCAAAACATATACATATGCTCCTTCAATTATCTTGTTTGCTTTTCTAGAAACCAATATCCCAACCTTAGAAAAAAAGAAAAAAAATAACCAAGACATTTTTTAAGTAGACATACTTGTAAAAACTATGAGAAAACCAATGCGATGTTCTTTTTGCTTATATAAACGCTGGGCGAGTGAGGCAGAAAGATTCCGTGTTCCATCAGCGCGCCGTCACTCTGAACTTCTCGAAGCGAATCAACCATTGTTTCCTGGGACTCGTCAGTTTCAACCGCGGCCAGATGGGGCTCCCAAACCCAGCTGCTAAAACACTCAGGAGAAGGTGATATCGTAAACAACGCTACATCTTCTATAGGACGGAAATACATACATCTCATACATTCTTGGTCCTGGATTTTTTTTTTCGTTTTCTTGTATGGTTACATTATGTATTTTTGATGAATATTTGGTGAAGAAATGAGATTTCCTAAATTGTATTTTTTTTCCTTTCTTATGAAAAAATTTTATTATATATTTCAATGAGATATAAATTTCAAGTTTCAGAAATTTATAATGTTGACGCTTTAAAAAAAAAACTAATGATATATTTTATGTAGTGAAATTCATTATCAGACTCTGTGATTTGTTTAACGATTATGACAACAGAATGCCAGATAAGTCTTTTACGAAATAATCGTGGTCTCTCTCTCTCTCTCTACATTGCAGGTGCTAGACGGACATTTGATTAATTTTGCACCAAAAAATCGATAACCCCAAATATACATCTTGAGGAAATAGTATGTTGAAAAACATATCCAGATGTTCATCATGGACGATATTATGTGTAAAAGCACAAAAAAAGTGTCCATAGTTATGAGACGGAAATTATTTAACATATAAGTTCTCATGTGTCATTTGGTTGAAGATCGCAAGAGTGCAAAGATTTTGAAATTTCATTCCATTTAATCACTTTTTTCCCATGAGTTTCAACATAGCTATCATTCGATTCTTTTTTGTAAATCTTTCATTTTTTTATACTTCATATAAATCAAGATATAAATTGTTTTTAGGACTTTGCATGTAACTTAAAATTTTCCCTATTTTGACATCTAATGTAACATCCTTGGTGTTTTACTTTACAGCTTATGTATATTAGTTAAAGACTCTGTTTATTTTTGAACTATGAGATTTTTTATGAAATCATTTAACCAAAACTTGAAAGTAAAACACGTTTACCTGTCACTGTTTTTTCTCTCCTGTATAGTAGTCTAAACAGTGGATATACTTCTCAACTAATGTTACCAAGTTATTTTTTTTTATTTATTTACTTATTTCAATCTTTTAATTAAGATAACATTTTTTGTATTTGCTTTTAAAAAAATGAATGTCAGATCAAAATTATAGGAACTTTAATAAACATATTAATGAAAAAAGTATATTTTTTCCTCTGTGAATATTATTTATAGTTTTGATTAAACGTAACTTATTTTTCGTTTTTAAATTCTGTCCATCATTTTAGAAGAGATTTAAACACAAAATTGAAAAAAGACGTAATTTTGTTGATTTTAATTTCAGCAGGTAATCACGTTGAAAAAGTTTAAGTCACATCTAACAAGTTCATAAAATGTTCAGCATGATAGTATTAAAAATTCAAATATTACCATTTTTGCTATATACAAAAAAACAAAAACAAAACAACAACACTTTACAACTAAGTCATTTCTAAATAGTTCATAGCTAATACATATACGTATTTGGTTGATCATTAAATTTTCCAATTTTTTTTGTATAGAATTATCATTGATTTTGTTTTTTTTAAAGGTTAAGAAAAGTTATTGGATAATTCTTTTTCAGTCTTATCCAGAATTAAGGAATCATTTTGATGTAATTAAAAATGATTGAACTTGCTGGCTGAAAACCAGAACTCCTAATTAATGAATTTATCATTTAGGATTATATTCATAGTTTTATTGAAAAAAGTTTATATACTCTTCCCCAAAACACTGACTCTTTGTAAGATTTTTTTTAATATTGAGAAACAATTTATATACATATTGTTGCTTATAACATAATTAAATGGATGTACAGAGTGCTTTTCCTTAACCATTCTTTGGTTTATCAAATTTCACACTGCATATAAAATGAATTTTGTAGCATTTTCTATGCATATTAATTATTGTGAAAAAAAATTAGCTGTATCCACTTTAACTTTTTTTTTAAATGCTGGCATCTGAAAAGGCAAAAATTTTTAAATATTTTATATGCTAAAAATAAGAACAATTTTTTTTTTTTTAATATCTTTATTACTTAGTAATAGTAATAAACATTTTGTGTTCTCCGAGACAAATCAAGCAATTTTTTTTCTCATATGCAAGATGTTTAAAGAAAATGCAGTAATAGACAAAACTCATTGAGCAAGAAAGTAACAAATTGTAACAAAAAGGGGCTATATAATATCAAACCGGTATAATACTTAATGAAAGTTCAACAAAAATATAAAATTGAAACAGAAAAAAAACAACACGACTAATACTCATTCTCCTGTAAGGAACCCCTGCAATGGACTCATTCATTCGAACAAATCAACCAATCGCTTTAGAGCATTTGACAGCACGTTAACGTATAGCCCCAAATGTCAGCTTTATATATATGATTGGCATTTGGAAAATGAGGGTCAATTTGGGAATGGCTAAAAACAGAAAATAAATACAAAATCGATATGAAATGGATATTTAACTATTAACTCGATAAAAAGAACAGCTAACAATCAAGAATAAGGCTCAAGAAATATCTTTGGCGTTAAATGATATTAATTATGCAGATATGCGTGTCATGTGACGAAATAGAATAAGCAATCATTCTCAGATGTACAATTCACAGATATAAATAATACTTGTGTGGCTTCCGAGGCACGTATTCCCAATAGCTAGCCTAGAATTGGGAAACATGAGATCTAATCACGGCCTCTGAATCGCATGGGTCGTGGACAGTGCAGAGGGGGAGCTGGTACCCTTTATTTTACACGCAGATCAAGATAAAAAAACATTTCGTCTCAAGTCAGCGATTTAAAGACTTTATTGTACAGACACCCCTCACAATTTCCATTGCTGTGGTCTCACTCGGTGTTTGTAGTAGAGAGAAAAACTCTGATAAAAAGCATTTTGTTTCGAGGGAAAAAATCATACTTAGTGTTTGAAATGCATATAGTGTTTTGAAATGCATGACTTGCTACGATGTAAAATACTGATAACAAATCAATGAAAACAGATATTGTTTTATGACAGTATTTAAAAAAGAATAAAGTAAAGAAACAAAATCTGAACACTTGTGTAGTATGCACGTTATAAAAATACCATAAGATGTTGTCGGCAGTAATTAACATTAACAATCATTGGCCACTTCAGACCAAAACTTTTAGCTCGTTATTACCCGTTTTTCCAATTCACCATAAAAAAGAAAGGAATGAAAAAGAGATGTAAAACAAGATAACAACAGCGTCTTACGACAATAAAAAACCGGCATCTGAAACCATGGCACACAAACAACTGTTGTATTGGTTACTCGTACAAGACTTTAATTGCCTAGATCGCCTGGTATTCTGGCTGTTGTGAATTAAAATACTCACTAAAAATACTCGTAAAATCGCTGGAAGAGCTGGCCTCATTGTAACTATTGGCAAGTGGGTATTGATCGGGGCCATAATGAGGCTCAATGCCATGTCCGGCTTGAGCCCGGCCTATAGAGTCGCCGGCACGGTGAGGTGGACGCGCGGACGACTGACCTATTGAGGAATTTACGACTTGATTGACACCTTCCGAAAAGCTTTCCATGTAATTGCTTCCATAAAGCGAACTTGATGAGTGTTGGTCTATTCCGGGCATCTGTTGGGGATAAACGGAAGATTTGGTCATATACCTAGAATTAAAATGGCGACTTGGAAGACTGGATATTTCGTTCTCCCGAGGATTGAAATTATTGACTCTAGAAAAGTTTGGCGAATACAAATGATTTCCATTTATCCCAAACCCTATTCTGTTGTTGTGATAATTGGCATTGGGTGAGTTGAGCGGATTTGTACCGTCATAATTCCACGAGTTAAATCCATTCCCGCCAAATCTCGTCATCCTGCTACCAGAATCTCCTGGACTTTCGTAGAAGTTCTCCGCGGTACAATGATTATTGTAGTTATTTGGCTGTTTTTGTAGGTAACCCATGTTTGTAGGATACGACGGCTGATAAGCTGATGAGTTTGAATCATGGCCATTGTAACTTTGAAAGACATTGTTTCCCTCCATGACAGGCGTGTTATTAACCTGCCCGACATGTCCAGATTCTTTTGTCACCGGTGAGGTACACTCGGGCGGACGCATGGTTTGGTGTGAACCTTTATTTGTGTTCATTGTGTCTATGCACGCACCCTCAACATCAGTCATTTTTCCACATATATTTTTCGACATAATTCCACCACTGGTTGATAGACCACTATGACTAGATTTAGAGACCGCCTCGCTTTCGCCAATAATTTTGTCCGCGAAATCAACAGGTCTGACGTCAGGAGATGCCAGGGGTGATGATGCAATAGGTGGCGTAGGCAGCATGTTTGATGCAGCCGACATAGGGCTGTTCATACTCTGAACACTTCCTATTGGTGAGCGTTGCTGTGGATCCGACAGATCTGACATGTTTGACCGCCTTGCATCAGGGAATCTATCCCGGCCCGACAACACCGTGAGCTCAACAACCTCAGAACCTTCTGGTTTCACCATAATCCTCTCTGCGCTAAGAGGTCGTCTGTGTTGCTCGTTATCACAATCCAACCCGCCATCATGTGAAACTTTGTCGGCGGAATTACACATATCTTCCCTATTGTCATGACAGCTTTCATAGCTTTCCCGTCTATCCATTCGATCGCAGCTTTCGTCGGATGACGTGGGACTATCTAGATTCCCGTCGTACGTCATCGATTTGAAATCCGACTCCGCTTTCTGCCGTTGAGACTGCGTTTGTCGTTTGTACTTCATTCTCCGATTCTGAAACCATACTTTTACCTGAAAATAACAAAAAATGGAAAGGTATTAGATATTATCAAACCCTTTTACACTTTAACAAACGGAAATATACGTATTGCATTTCTACAATTTTATACGTCACTTTTGCTAATCATTGCGTCAATAACTTGGAGGAAAAGTTCATGGCCAGGACAAAAAAATTAGCAACTCTCATATTCCTTACAAAACAGAAAATTCATATTAATTCTGTTTATTGATTCCAAATATAACAACCTTGTACACTCAGAAAAAGTCTAGACAAAAGAAATTGTTCTAATATTAATGTTGCAATTTTTAACGATAATGGTTACAATAATGGATACACTTTAAATTTGCAAACACTTGATACAATAACATCAGCTCTAGAAAATAATCTTCAAAGACCTTGACAACGAATAACTTAGTATGCATCCTATATATTCTCTCTTCAGCTGCCACGTCTTTCTACTTGAAATACATGTACTGTGTGTTGCAGAAAGATATATACACCCAGTTTCAAATAACACTAAGCAAAAGGCATCATTGTTCACCTGATATTGTTCCAGATAATGAAAAGGAACAAATTTCATATAATATTGCTAACTGTGTGGGTGTTGTTTGTAACATACTTAGATTATGCTAGTAGTGATTTTATAAACAAGATGCGTTTGTGAAACACTGATGCCCCCGTATGGCAACATAGCGAAGATTGAACTTTTCTCAATGCAAATGTAATATATTGGTACCTAAAGTAGGGTATTCTCGCTGGAAATACAATTGTGAAACATGAAAGTAGGCCACGGTTAAAGTTCTTTCATAAGTACGAAAATCTCTAAGGTCAAGGTCAAAAGCTCAAGGTAATTGGTATCCGATTAAAGGTCTTGCCACAAAAAAATATGTGAAGTTAAAGCCCTAACCCTTCAAAAGTTACGATTAAAAATTTTTAAAAAGTAGGTCAAACTCCAAGATCAAGGTCAAAGGATCAAATTTCTAGATATCAAATGAAAGGTCTTGTCACAAGGATTAAATATGAAAACCTAACCCTTCAAAAGTTATGGTCAAGGTTTGTTTTGTAAAAGTAAGTCAAACTCCAAGTTCAAGGTCAAAGGGTCAAAGTTCTTGGTATCTAATGAAGGGTCTTCTCACAAGGATTACATATGTGAAATGAAAGTCCTATACCTTTACCGTTTAAAAGTTATGGCCAAGGTTATTTTTTTCACAAGTACGGAAATCTCCAAGGTCAAGGTCAAAGTTCTTGGTATCCAATGAAAGGTCTTTACACAAAGAATGCATGTGTGAAGTATAAGTGTCCTGGTGTCTACTGTTCAAAAGATATGGCCAAAGTAAAAGTTTGGAATTTTTGTGCAAAAGTGGGTCAAACTCCAAGGTCAAAAGTTCCAATTTGGTGGTACCCAAAGAAAGGTCTTGTCACAAGAAATACACATGTAAAATATGAATGTCATAGCTCCACTAAATTAAAAGTTATGGGCAGGGTTAAAGTTTTTAAATAGTGTGTTTCGTAAAGACAAAAACTATATACCTCCAAAACTTCGTTTATGGGGGCATAAAAAAACTTTTAGCTTTAGAGCTTCTGAGAAAAATAATAGATTTTTTTTAACTTGAAGTAATGCTTATATTATTAATCCAGTAAAGGTTTTCGAACTTTTCCTTTTATATTCTTGGGAAGACCTCTTATCATTTTCGTCTTGACGGTAGGTAAAAATATGAATTAAATTCAGCAAATATTTCATTCTCATGATTTGTTAGTGTCTGTAGAACTTTAAATTATAATTGAATAAATACATGGGTCTATTACATATTTCAATCTAGAATTCTGTAAGACTAGGGACCTGAAAAAATTCGTACATATATCATAATAATGATATAGTTTTGAACCTCTGCTAATATTTAGGACTATATTTCTGTACATCTCTTCAACTGTTACCTGTCTCTCTGTTAAATCTAACGATGCAGCTATTTCAATTCTTCTCGGTCGACATAGATATTTGTTGAAATGGAACTCTTTTTCCAGCTCCAGAAGTTGAGTATTGGTGTATGCAGTGCGCAGTCTCCTTGTTCCTCCGCCGCCATTGCTATGGGAACTTGAATTACTCCGCGGTTCTTGTGGTTGTGATTGGGTATTTGTAATGGCCTGCGGTGGGCTCGGAAAATCTGAAAATAAATAAATTAAAATGCAAAACATAATTTCTCGGACAGTGGCGCTTTGACAATCATATTTACTTTTTTATGAATAACTTAGGACTACTTTGTCTGAGTTACGACACAACTAATTGACCTGCCGCCTCTTTGTCATTTATACTAAACACACAATTTGTCGTCTGTGTCATTTCGTACAAGGCACGTTCGCAATGAATCTTGAGATGTTGAATTGAATTGTTCTTTCCTCCTCCAAGCTTGGATACCGAGTTAAACCTACATAGGGTTATTATAATATTCATATTATAACATAAATCATATGTTTATGTCATAGTAACTACAGCTAAAATTGTACAATTTATATAAACTCTCCATAAACCATGTCAAATCATGGGTAATTTATTACCATTAAGAAACAGATTTCTAGCATAACTGAATGTCTCTTGCACAGTAAATAATGTTTATCTAAACAATGCACATTTACCAAAAATCAAAACACGATATGAAAGGTTTTTTGTTTTGTTACAAAATTTAGGAATAAGTTCGTAGACAATTTGTTGAAAGTAGTTCTGCACAATAATTTACTGAAACAAAATGCTTTCATCCATATTTTTTTTAATTTTAGCTTAAGACGAATAAATCAAACTTAGAAAACTCACGTATCATATGACAAATACAATACAATTTGTCATCTAATGGCTTTGCTGTTCATAGAAGTAAAACTTACATTGGCAAATATTTCAATATTTTGATAACCCTATAATCGAAGATTTGGGACACACAATTTTTGCTATATCCGTCTGTTTGTCCTACTGTCTATCTACCTGTTAGTCTGTTTGACCATCAAATTTGACCTCTCGGCATTGACTTGGAGTTTGACCCACTTTTGCAAAATCTTTACCAAACTTTAACCTTGGACATAACTTATGACTGTTGGTTCTATTGCTTTTCTACTTTAGGTATATTCAATGTGTTTCTCTGAGTATCAACAATTTATACTCTTTGACCTTAACCTTGGGTTTGACCTACTTTTCAAAACTTTGAACTTCAAAAGCGACATGTCTCTCCCTTTGAGCTCAAATCGTCTTCACTACGGATGTTTGTTGCATATTTCGTTGAAATTTGCACACTTTTGATGGAGATATATACAAGTGAACAAGTTTGCAAACGGCAGAAAGCAACGGCGAATACTCTTACGTCAGAAAATCTGACTTGAGTCTTTTTGCTCAGCCTCAGGTAAACTGAAAATGTGTCACAAAAGGCAATAAGCATTTAACAAATGATTATTTCCATTCTCTCCTTAAGAGCATGATGGTTTAAAAGAAATCTTTAACTTTTTAAAAACGACCCCAGGGAAAGAATAACCAAAAATATATGATGTCAAAAATATTCAATCATCTTAATGTTGTAAAACTCATGTTTTGTCTTGTAGCAACCCTTTGGGTTGGGCCAACACAATGACTGCGTAATAACGAAAGAAAAAATATTTTAAGAAGAGACTTTCCGATTCGGAAGAAAACAAAGTAACAAAATCTGTCATTTATTTGTATCCTCTTATAGCACAGATGAAGTTTATGAGCATCGATTTGCTTATGGAACCATTGTAGAACCACATTAGACTACGCAAAGAGCAAAACAGAATCAAGAAGCCAAGGGTTGTGTTGTTTAGACCACAATAAGATCTATTTACTCACTCTCTTTACAAGAAAAGAAATGTTAAAGAGGTGAGCATTGTTACTCATTGATCTCTTATTTTCAAACATTGCCCTCCTTTCTTTTCATCTAAATTAAACTTTATTTAAAAGTGATCTTACTCTTGACAAGCATACACTTTTGTGATAAAAATTAGTTTTATATGCTTTCCAAGGTACATGTGGGTTTACATAATAAATGGTTCGTAAGTAGCTTATACACGGCATGACCATATATATTTCAAGAGGCAGGAAAAATAATATAGTTCACCTGTATGCTGTAACATAACTTACTTATTTTGTCGTAAATGTTCTGTATACTAAATAGGTAAATGAATGCACATTAAAAACAAGGATCAAAATATAAGGATAAAATGTATTTACGAAGCGTTTACTGTACTGGTCTTACCTTTGAGAATTATGAAATTACTTCACTGTGTATTGGCAATGTTTATCGTTTATTTCTTTGACTTTGTGCAAAAGTGTTTTCTTTAAACAAATTAAGCTTAAACCAGTTATAGAAAGAGTCATTCTATTCAAAACATAACGTCGTCTTTCACTTCCTTGACATGAAGAGATTCACTGCCATGTGACCTTACGTTTTGTGCAGCTGGATAAAAAAAGGCTGTCGATTGTTTTAGCATTGAATACTATTGAGACTGAAGGATGGATTAGATTGTAGTGTTGTATCAATATTTTATACGGTTTAATAAGTTCGTCAAAACAAATCGAATAGAAGATGCCACAATGTAATCACGGGATGGATATGTAGCTGCTGTAAAGGGGTTTCCCAGGCATGCAAACCTCCAGGCATTTCAGCACAGCCCGACAGGTGTTCTAACTGAGCCTGACATACACTAATCAACTTACACAGATGCTTTTTTATCACCAAACTTTAACTTTGTCACTGCGATTTCACACTTCAATCCTTCTTATTTTGTTTTCCTTGTTCTTTAATTGAATTACAATTATTGATTTCATCCAACATAAGGTCGCTTTATTTTTGTTGGTTAAAAAATTTATGTCTTTCTTGCGAGTGATATCTGAGCATATCTGTCTTTTTAGATACAACTTAGAAATGGAGCTTTAAGAATATCATTTCATGTACAGATAAAAGCCAAAAAATATTTTAAAATCTTTTTTTCTGTACATTCAAGTCATATTGTTAACAAAATTGAGTTTATATCTTATTGACAAAACATTGGGTCACATAAATAAGTTGTTAACCAAGTGTATGGGTATCCTAAAAACTGTTATTTTCCATTGGGAAAGGGAAAACAGATATCGTACAAGCCTTAAAAGGAATCAATACGCAGGCTCATTAACCCCGATTACACTTTTATCATTAAGTAAGAATAGAACTGAAACATAGATGCAGAACAAATGAATAAAATTTGTTCTTTATTTATCCTTGATCTTTCCATCATAAATACTTATAATTTTTTGTCAAGTAAGATGTAGTGCAAGATTTGCGTCATGTAATTGAAATAAGATCATAAATAACACAGAGAGAAAATATGAGAGAGTTTACAATGTAATTCTTTTAATGTCCAAATTATCAAATTTTGTTAATAATTCTCAGTTATAATGATGAATGCATGAATATGTTGAAGTAATTTTGACCAATAGTACATCCATTTTTTTGATTAATACTATGAAGTGCTCAGTCTCTGTAATATTATGGTCAAGATGTTCTTTAGGGCAGACCTGGTATATAAAAGTTTTCACCTTACAAAGATATTAAAATAAATATTGTGAAAACAACGTTTTCGGATCAAAATAAACAAATGTTTGGTATAACTTCTAAATGTACTGAATCCGTCTTTCTTACAGCTTCCATCACAACTACTTTCTACAAAAATGTTGCCAAACGGGTGCAAATGGTATACAAACGGAAGGAATGTAGTAGCATTCGTTTACTACTAGTATCTGTTAAGAACTTGTTGAACGCGTTCCAATTGCTCGGACGAGAAAAAATGGCCTGCTTAAAAAATTCCAGTCCCGAATTTGGTACAGATTGAGGGAAAAACGTACATTTCATGTGTTATATATTGTATTTTGCAATTTACCGGAAGGTCTTTAGAAAATACAAAACTTATACAATGATAAATTTATGGTCATGTTGTTTAATATTTGTAATTTACTACAACCGGTAAATTCAAAAATTATAATATGTCAAGTGTATTTACAAAATGAAATATGGAGATAACGAACAATATTGAAGATCAAAAGTCTTTGGAAACAATACAAATCGAGAACAGAGCAAACACTGACCTCTAAAACATAAAAAATGGGATAAAGTACAATGGACGATCAAGCATTCCCTAACAACCAGTCATAACCCGTATGTTCCTTGTCAAGATCGAAAAAAATCCGTAGAAAATTCAGTGTTTAAATAATGTTTAAACAATTGAATGGTATGAAAACAAAAACGTACGTCAGCATTGCGTTTCATGATTGATTGTATTTGCTGACAAGGTTATTGTTTCGACCAAAGAACTTGTGGAATGACGTCTTTAAACGACATTGCTGAATCCTTGATTCATCAACTTGTTTATAGATAGCTTGATTTGCTTTTTAAATTGTTCTTACGTAAGGGACGTCGAGCATACGTGTCGATTCACCAGGAAGACAAAAATCCAATAGGCAAGTGATAATGGTATTTTGCTACATAAGTTAGGAACACCAAAAATTATTACATGTACGTTTTGATTTCAAAACGGCCGTTTGTAAAGAAAATAAGGCCCTGTCAAATTCTCCAAAATACTCTTTTCCTTGAGAAACTACTTTTTAGGGAGCTTTTTACTATAAATGCCAAGAAATATTTAATATACTTCGCAATACTATAAGTACATATAGACGGAAAATGTCCTACATATATATGTCCTATTTATTTCAAATACATGGCAGATCTCTAACAATAAACGTACAAAATTTACACTACCTGGATTGCTAGTCATTATCGTAAAGCAGTAAGTTAAGAACTGTTTTCCATCAGCTTTAATCTATCCAATACTTTGTCAACATGAACACACTGTAATCAGAAGCCACCGTATCGACTCTCCCTCTAAGATGTGTGTCCCCACAAGAAATACCTAATAATAACCTTAAACCACACCTGTTTCAAAACAATTTTTCTTTCTGATTTATTTATTTAGAAACTGTATAACAATTGATGTTGCACTTTTAATTGTAGTTAAATGTCACTCTAGCCGTACGGATCATCGATATTTTTACTAGGTGACCCGGGATATGTTATAATAGGCGAAATCTCTGCTAAAAAATAAACAAGACCAATCTCTTTATGTTACAGTTGTTTTTGTG